CCCCCCCCCCCCGCTTTTATGATAGCGTGCAAGGTGGCCGTTGTCATGACCAACAGGTCGGAGCAATTGCTTCTAAGAATAGCTGGTGTCCGGGATTGGCTGCTTGAGCTTGGGTTGTGCGGGACACGCCTTGGGATCGGGCGAGCGGGGGCGGAGCGCCCGACCGAGGACGGATCTGCCGCGCTCGCAATGAATTGAAGCGCTTCTTGAGAAAAAAAAAAATGCTCTTGCTCCAGGCTCGTCCCTTAACGCTGCCGATGGGGGCGGAGTTTCTTTTGTCTGGAGCAAAATACGCAACGAAGCAAAATATGCGAGTGGAACTGGGCGACGGTTGAATTTGGATTTCTTCCGAGCGGCTCGGCCAAACGAGCTCGTCGTAATTCCCGCGTGAGTTCGGACGTGCCGTCGGACCAATTTGGGGCGACGGCGTGGATTTTCTGCTCTCTTGGGGGGGGGAGAAAACGGACAGCGTCGAATTGGCACGGAAAGGGCTTTTGAGTGGGCGACAGAAACGACGGCGCGACGATGAGGGAACCACTCCGCGGGACTCGCCGGGAGGTCCGCACACGCTTTCTCGCTTTGCCTTTGGTCATTTCGCAAGCGCGTCCGAATGGCGGGGGGGATTCTTTCAAGTCAAACGAAAGACGTGACGATGGGGTCGGGAGGGGGCTCCTTTTCAACACCACTCACAGCATTTTGCGGTTACGGGGCTCCCACTCTTCCACTCGCTTTTGATTTCTGGACCTTTTAAGGACTTTTGAGGGCTGATTCCGCCATATTTAAGGACGTTTTCTCCACTCGGGAAGGAGCTTCGCGGTGGATTTCATCAACACAAAGCCACATTTCACTGAGCGGGTGTTCAAATCGTTGCTGCCGAAGGAAGGGCACCTCTTTATTTTTCGGGGCAATCAGCCAACCCTTGATTTGACATCCTGTACTGTTTGTCAAATTGGACCGAAATGTTTAAGTCGCAACTATGTCAGTCTCCCCAATTAGGGAGGGAAGTTCGTCTTGTCTGCGGGTCATTTGAGCCCAAGCGCATTGACACTTTTGCCGTGTGTGTGTGTGTGTGTGTGTGTGTGTGTGTGTGTGTGTGTGTGTGTTGCTGCAAGTAAAAGCAGCGAGCCTCACATGACAGCAGCTTAGCGCATACTTGGGCAAGGCGCAGAGCGCGCGCGTGGACGTGCGCGTTCACGGCGGTGACGCGCCAGCACGCCATTGTCCGCGCCGGCCAGGCTTACCTCCTCCTGGTAGAAGTAGATGAGGTCCGCCAAGAGCTCGCCGCACACGCCGCACACGAAGCAAGCCGGGTGCCAGCACGAGGCGCGACCGGCGCGGGATGCGAACACCGCCACGTCGCCGCCGCCGATCCGGCCGCCGCACTGACAACAGACGCAAGAGGAGACGCGGTTCCAACACGAGAGCGCTCGGAGAGTCGGCTTCGTAAAGGCGGCTCTTTTTTGTCTTTTCGGGGGCGTCGGGACCTGCTCGCAGACGGCTCCCGTCACGGTCACGGGGAAAGGGCGGACGTCGCCGCGGCCGAGGTTCTCCCGTTTCCGTTGGTGACTGAAGAGCTTCAGCTCCCGCTTCTCGTCGTCGTCGAGACCGTTGCAGTAGCGGACCTGAACGGGCGGCAACGAGATGAAACGGCATTTTGCAACGCGGGAAATATTTGACCAAACGAGATCGAGTGGACCATATGAGCGAGCGGCCGAAGCAAATTGGGAGCTTTCAAAACAAAGAAATTGCATTTCCCGCGGCGCTCGGCTTTTTCGCCCGGTTCCAACACGACAAGCGCGGTTGTCTTATTGTTCTCGTTTGATTTCCCACCCGGGACGAAGAATCCATCCGTTCATCATCCGTCCGCCCCTCAACCGTCACTTTCCGTTCCGGTGACGGAAATGCATCGGAAGCGCTTTGGCGGAGTGAATTCGTTTTCTTTCCACTTCTGAGGCATCGAGCGGGCAGTCAGACAAAGCAAGATTTGGCCGTCCGCGTTTGACTTCCGCCGTCTCGTCTCCCGGGAGGAAGCGGCGGACGATGACGGGGGTCCGTGGGGACTCTCACCTCAGTGTCGTGGGGCGGCAGCTGGCGCAGGAGCTGCTCGATTCGGTATTTCTCGCCCGGGCTGTTCACGTAGGGCACCTTGTCCTCCGGGAGGGAGCCGTAGTATCGGCGCACCTGACGGAGACACACCGCAGGACGCGTTGGCGCGGCGACAATCGTGACGGCCCTTTCCATTTTGGACGGGTCACTCCCAAACGGGGGAACCGCTGCCTTTTTGACCGCGGCCGCCATTTCACACTCCGATCTGTTTCGCTTTTGTCCGCGTGCGCGGAAATACGTATCGATCGGCCCATTTGGAGCAAACCCGGACGGCTCCGCGCGTTTCGTCACACTGAGCGCTCGGCTCCTTTCCAGATGAGCTTTGAGCAATGACAGCGTTGACCTCATGGAGCGGTCACCTTATCGTTTTCGTCTTTGCTCTTTCCAGACACATCTCATCAGGAAGAAAAAAAAGTTTTGATTTAAGACCACGCAGTGACTCACACGCGCTGGCACGCAAACGCTCGCAGCTGCGTCGGGTCGCATTTACGGCGCGCCGGCAAACTTGCCTTTCCGTCTCTGCGCATGGACAAAGGGGGGATGGATTAGTGACGCGTGGATAAGAAGCGATTAACACGTACGCATGTGCAAAGGCGCTCAAGTGGGCGCACAGAAGCAGGATTGGCGCTCATCCGTCCTTTCTAAACGAGCGGGCGGGGCGTTCTTTGCATTGCGGAGGAAGACGACGACCGTCGGCGCCGTGCGCTTTGTGGTCGGCGTGCTCTCGCGCTGTAGAACGGAGGTCAGGCGCTCAAAGGCGAACGCGAGGCCGCGCGCGCGGGGGTCAGTCGTGAAACTGACAACGTTTGAATGGCGGGCTCCGCGACGAGGGCAAATAGAATGAGAGCGGCAGATTGCAGCGGGGACAACGGCAACTTTCTTTGGTCGAGGCGAATCGTGAAGAATGAAAAGGCGAGCGAGGCCATCGACCGGGCCCGGGACGATCTGAGCAACTCCTCCGTCACATCGACGGACCGACCGTACGCGCTGGTCACTGACGCTTTCTCCGTCGCGCACCGCCGCACGTGCGGCTCCGGCACGCCTCGACCGTTCCGACGCCGCCCGACGGCGTCGCTGGAAATCATCGGCCGTCCGACGCATTTGCGACTCGTCCGGTCGAGGTCAAACACTGATATGAACTCAGCGGGCGACGACTCGGTCGAGCAATGTCACAAATCAGCCTTTCCAAAGATCGCGAACGATCCCACGCGAGGCGTTCGTTCGACGCTCCGTTTTTAAAGCCCTCGCATCGTACGGCCGGACCGAACGGCGAGGTCGGCGAGCCCGCGCTCGAGCGTCTCCGATGCGCTTTACCTGTTCGGGTTCGAGTCCCGGCGGCACCCAGGCGTACTCCTCCAGGGCGCAGCCCGAGTCGTCGTCCGAAGTCGAGTTCCTCTGGAAGTCGTACGTCGGCTTGGCCGGCGCCTTCTCCGATTCCACAGGCATGGCGCTCAGCGCGCGCTCCCCCCGCCGACGCTTACGATGCGCACAGATCTTCCTATTGTTAGAGGGGGGGCAAGGGGGGGGGAGCAACCACCTTAGATTAACGCGGCAAATTCCAAAAGCACGCTGACATCTTCAATACGTTGGACATAAATCGCCATTTGGACGTTTTCATGACAAACAGACACCGTCTCGTTCATTTTTAGGCCGATGAAACAAGTCTGAAAGCGCCAAAGGAAAACAGCAGCCATCATTTCGCAGCCTTTTTATGGAAGAAATCCAAGTGTGTGTGTGTGTGTGTGTGTGTGTGTGTGTGTGTGTGTGTGTGTGTGTGTGTGCGCGTGTGTGTGCGCGTGTGTGTGTATGAGCCCCAAAAGATGACATACTAAGCTGGAACGTGTTGAAGCAGAAGCAGACAACATGCAGATGCAATTTGAATCCGTCTGTGTTCCGGTCTAGCCAGCAAGCATCTCTCGGCCAGATGGCATCGAGGCCGCACAACAAAAGACTTGGTGGCCGCTGGCAAGCGCACGCGAGCTTGACCGGTGCGCTCCAGGGGGGAGGGAAGGGGAGGGAAGGGAAGGGAAGGGAAGGGAAGGGAAGGGAAGGGTGGGACACTCCGGGACAGCCGAAGCGCCTCGATTAGTTGGAGATGAAAATCAATCGTCGATACCAGCAAAAATACACGCAAGGAGAAAAAGAAAAGAAACGAATTGTGATGGAATTCGGACACGACTTTTCCCAAGCGAACGCGCTCGTCAGCCCGCGGTCGAAACGCGTCAAATGCAAACACGGCGTGTGTGTGTGTCTCGCTCGCTCGCTCGCTCGCTCGCTCTCTCGCTTACCTCGTCACCGAGCGCTCGCGCGCGCAGCCGCAGTCCCGAGCCGGGCGCTAGCGAACGCTGCAAAAACACGTCTGCCACATCGCACCCGCTGGCTCGGCCGCAAACCGCCCTCCCTCCTCACCTCCATCCGCGATGGATGCAAAAAAATGTCGAGGAAGAATCGTCCAAAAGATCAAAAGACAAACAAAGTCCTCGGACCGACGGCCCTTCGCGAACACATTCGACGCTCCCGCCTACGACGACGGTCGGCGAGGATCGAACTTGGAGCGCGTGAAAAAGTGCCGCTTTGTCGCGAGCGCTCGATCCCCAAAAGCGCAGCTCGATTCCGACGGGCGCTTTCGATTTCGCGGCGTCGGCGGTCCGAGAGACGATTCGCGCGAAGCCCGACGCGACGCGAGCGAAAGCGCCGCGCGGCCACCCGACCGGAGTGCCCCCGCCGAACAGCGGGACCCCGGATCAAGCTCCCCCCAAAATGGCGCGGCCGCTTCCTGTTTGCGCCTTCGCAATAAAATCGCCGGAAGCCGCGAGCGTTCGGACAGTATGAACGTGTTTGTTTTTTGGGAACGACCGCGATACTTGATCCCATTTGAGTCGGAGCGATCGGGGTTCCGATCCCTCTTCTTGTGCGGAGCTGCAAATTCTCCTCGTCCGCGCGTTGGTTTTCTCCCGCGCTCCCAAAACGGGCTCGTGAGGCCAACCGACTCGCGGACTCTTGAAATTAGCCGTCCATGCGAAAGTGAGTGGCAACGCTTGCCATGTCGAGATGTGCCCCGCGAGTGATTGAGCGGTCCGGGGTGTGTGCGGCCCAAAATCAAAAATCAGACGGCGAAGGCGCCTCCAAGTCACCGATGACCCAAATGACGACAAGTGCAAGAGAAAAAAAAAAGGGCTTTATGGAAGCCGGGGGGTAGAGGAGGCGTATCTCGCTTTTTGCATTAGTCTGTACTTTCTGGAGTTAACTTAAGACACACACGCGTGCGCGCACACACTTGACTTTCCCTCCCAGCTAATATCCCGGTGTGATGTCAGCAAGTTCATGTCCCGACAGCGGCGTAAGCAGCGGTGCTCCGAAATCATTTGCATGTGAATTCCATCTTTTTCCCGAATCAAGTGGCCCGAGGCGAAAGGCGCGAGTTTGCGTCGTACGGATAAGCGCAGATAATCCGCGCGGGGGAACGAGGAGGCCGCTTGCTGTCAACAAAGCAGAGCTGCTTCACGGAAGAAGCAAGATGGAACAAGGACGAAAGGCCAACCGAGCGATGAAAAGGAAAGCAGAATGAACGCACGCCTTCAACCGATAGCGCCGTCGAAAGATGCCGTTGCGCGGGCGTCGTGCTGGACGCGCACGCGGGTCATATCGCGGAAGCGTCGCATTCGCGTGACGAGTCGCGTTTGTGTTTTCAAATTGGAACGGGGCAAACGCGACCGCGGTCGCAAAACGGGGAGGGGTGACAAGTGCGGCGCGCCGTCACGACGGAGAGCGTCGCCGGCCAAAAGCATCCAACCTCCGCCTTGCGATCGGCAAAGAAATGGATTTTCAGACGAGTCGAGGCACATTTCGGGCGCTTGACGGTAGCGGCCGCAACATCGCAGAGGAGCCGGATGAGGTGGCTCGGGCATCCCATGTGGACGCCTCCCCGGGCGAGGCGTTCCGGGCAGGAACACGCCGGGGTGGGCTCGGGACACGCTGTAGAGACCGTGCGGCCCGCCTGGCCTGGCCTGGGAAGGCCTCGGGACGCGCCGGGGGGAGGGAAGTCCGGCTTTCCCTCATAAAGCCGCCGCCCCCGCGACCCGACCCCGGAGAAGCGGCGCTCAACGGATGGACGGATGGAGTTTCGCCGTCGCCGCAGAAAAGCCACGCAGGCGGGCAGGAGAAGACGCAAACTCCAGGCAGGAAGGCCCGAGCCCAAATCCAAGCCTGCGCCTCTGCGCTGTGAGGCGGGCGTGCTAAGCCGTCCTCCGCCACGTCGCCCTTCAACGTAAAGAACAATCATTGAAATCGATGGAGATCGATGGATAGAAAAGGGAGCGATCGGTGGACACCTGAACGAGTACGACAGCAAGGTAAGTGCGGCTTTCCCGTGAGCAGCGTGCACTTTGCTGCTCTGCGCTAATTGAGTTGTTTGCTTTGGGGGGGGAGGGGTTCTCGAGCAGAGGGGTGAAATTCGGCACCCTCCCGCTCCACGGGTCGAGTCAACTTGGGAGATCCCGTGTCGACGCCGGCACGCTGCTCATCTCCCTCCAATGGCAACAGCTCGGAAGGAAGGACGGGGGGGGCGAGACGGCGGTCGGCGGGACAAAAGCAAACTTTCTCCAGGGCCGACGTCGACCGGGTGCAAACGGTGGAGCCGTTGCGACTCGCCCCCGCCGCTTTGACTTTTCCACTTTTTCAACGTCGGCCCGAACGCGAAGCGGACGTTGGATCGGAAGCCGACGACGGAGACCCGCCGAGGAACGCGACGCCCTCGGCCGTCCGTTTCGACAGACGGCTGAGAAATCCATTTTCGGGGGGAGGCCATCTTTTGCCGGCGAGTCCGCGACGGCGCGCTCGGCATACTCGGACGCGCCGGAGGAAGAGTCCTGGCGAGCGCGAGGTGGAACGGACGACGATCGATTGGATCCCGATCGAGATTCTCGAACGAGCTCCGAATCACTTGGGAGACGTTTCGAGGTGGTGAAAACCTCCGCGCGTTCGTTTCCTTCTTGAACTCTTCCACGCTCGCCCCAACTCAGCGCCGGTACTAATTAGCCGGTCCTGCCGCGCCCGTTTTTTGGGCTTTCTTTTTTTGTCGGAAGAAGCCTTTGATCATCCGACTCGTCGCAACGTCTGACGAGAACACATTTTAATTGGCTTCCTTTTTTGGTTTTTTCCTTTTTTAAGTCTTCCGCAAGAGCCCCAAATTGGAAAGGAAAACATCTCCCCGACTTGAATTGCTCATTTGCACCCGACCAAGGTCGCCTCATTCCAAAATCGACGGCGCTCTTGCATAAAAAGCTCATTAGCGGAAATCAAAGGGAGCTCTCCCTTCCGCGCAACAGCACCAAGATGCAAACGGACGCGCAAGCGACATTCAAAGCGAGATCCAGACGCCCCGAAAAGCGTTGACGCGGCGGGAAAGAGCCATCTTTCCTTCCGGCGGTCCGCTTTTTTGCCCCGATAGCTCGGCGGCCCCGCGGAAAGCCGCCGCGTCTTCGGGCGACGCGCCTTTGCCTGAGGCGGCTGTGCCGGTCTGAGCTCGCGCGCGCGTCAAACAACAAAAGCGTACGAGGTCCTTTCGGATTCTTTGTCTGTTTTGGGATTTTGATTTCGTTCCAAAAGGCGCCACCTCCGGTCAAACGTCGGCTTTCCAACGTCTCTGTTCTCCACCAAATCGCTTTTGGACCCAAAATTTCCACTTTTTGGATGACGACGGAATTTCGGTTCTCGAACAAAATGAGCGCACTCCAACGCGCCATCTGAGTGGTCTCGCCTTCCCTACACGAGGAAGCGACGCTTTCCATTGTGAGCAGACGTGTTCAAGAACCATTTTGATTTGAAAAAGAGCCCGCTTTCGGTTTTCCGACAGCCTTCCGGAAGGCATTGTGGACGAAAAGCGAGGTTTGACCGGATTTGATTTCATTGCCGAAAATGTTTTTCAATTGGAGTTTTGTTCACCGAAAGAAGCTTGGCGGGGACCGGCTTGCGGAGTTCCCGTCGCAACGTCGAGGCGAGGAAAGCCGCCGTGTCTTCTCGTGATGATGAGAGTTAGGGGGGACTTATTGGAGTTCTGCTGGCGATTATTCGAGTGACACGAGGGGGTCAGTATTATCCCCGGGCTTGCTCACGCAAGGTCGCCATTCGGAGGAGGAGGCGAAAGGCGTCTCGTTCAAGTCGACATACGGTAAGATGCCGCGGGCGGACGGACGGACGGACGGACGGACGGACGGACGGAGGAACCCTCGCGGGAGACGAGTGGCTCCCCTCCCCGGCGGCACGTCTCTCGTCGCGGTCCCGATCGGATGACGGAGCGCCAAAGAATTGAGGCGGGCCGGAACGGCTCGGGTGTCACTGGCGCGGCGGCTCCCTTTTGCGGGCCGCTCTTCCTCTGTCGCTTCGACAATGGATGTTTGCCATCCGACACCCGTCGGCGCGCGGGAGGCGGGACGTGCGCCACCTGCGCCGATCCTTCGAGACACGCCCGCCACGTCAACAACGACAACGCCGCCGTCGCGACTCATCCGCGCTCACCGGGGCAATCGCGGACAAGACCATCGACTCCATCGAGCGGCCCGTCGCGTCCCGCAAAAGGAGGCGGTCTCTTTCTTGGGGCGTGTCACTTCAACAGAGGTCCTCGGCCCCAGTGTCCGACTTTCCAAAGTAGAGCTTTGGCGCCACCTTGCGGCATTTCAGCAAGAGCGCCAAAATGCACGGAGGTGAGTTTTGACAGTCGATCGTTCGGGACAAAAAAAAAAAAAAAAAAGGGACTAGTTGGCGGATTACCGTCGTGCGAAAAGGAAGCCGAGACGTCCAGCGGACGACTGCGTCCAACTCGGCCGTTCCGAAATGAGTCGCATGCTGGCAAGCGGCCAATCTTTTTCCATTCACGTTTGTCACCTTTGACCGGACGACACGAGCGCTTCCTGTGCTCTCTCTGCCTCTCATTTGAGAAAATACCGTCTACTTCTGCGACCTGCGTCACACTTTCACACCACAATGAGGACGGTACCTTGCAAAAAAAAAAAAAAAGGCTCTATTAGCTTGATATTGAGCTCGTGCGTCGTCGGTGATGCAAGCGAGTTGTTTTGGGTTGTCTTTGACCAAAACTTGTTGGAGGGGGAAAAAAGAAGCGGCCTCCAAAAGTCGCCGTCCACGGCGGCATCGAGACCCGCTTGCCGGAGAGGGAAGGAGGCCATTTTTTGAACTGGCGACCCAAGGCGGCATTCCTGCTCGAGGGCGACCGGGCCCGCGGGTATTAAAGCCCGATGAACCAATGGACTTGATTTGCAGGCCCGAGACGGAAGCAAAGCCGAAATTTCACGCACGTTTCGCTATTTGGTATTCGTATGTGCACGCTTGCCGAGTGTCGACGCGCGTGCCCGAGTCTTCAGACTTGATTTCATTTTCGTCCTCAAATTCGTCAACGCTTTGCGATGCTCGGCGGCGGCGTTTTGCGTCGGGCGCAGGTGGACCTGGCGAGCGGCGAGAACTTCAGGCGCCGCCGGGTGGCGGACGAGCGGGCGCAGGAGGCGACAAACGGCAGTCGGTCTCCGGTGGCGCTGAGCCGCGTCATCGCGGCTCTGGCGCAGAGTTCAGGTCCGGTCCCGTACAGGTGCGGCGCCCGCCCGACCACCGGTGTCGATGGCGGAGCTGGAGCTGACCTGGTTGTTGGCCCGCTTCCTGTAGGGACTCCATCCTGACGCGTGTCCTGCAAGACTTGCTGGGGGCCGGGGGGGGGGGGCACCAAGACCACCATGGTCGCCACTGTGCCGCAGTTCTTCAATGACGTTGAGGTGCGTTTGTCCCACCGTGTTAAAAAAACAAAAAAAACCCAAACACTGAGATGGAGATGACATGGACTTCTTTTTATGGCCCTTCATCTGTACATGATGGCTCATCTGATTCCAAACGACATCAATGCACGGATGAGGATCTGGAGCACGTCTTTGCGTTGCGCACAGGAGACGCGGGTCACGCTGGAGAACGCCAGCAAGGCCAGGAACATCATCATCGAGCCCGAGGTGGACCAAACGGTCAGAGAGCGGGTGCCCACGGAGGTGAGGCCGGCACCGCGGCGCACGCCGGCTTCCCATCAACGACACGCTGCGCTGTTCGCCATCTGATGCACAACATGGGGCCAAAGTGACCCGGCCTTGTGTGATGAATTTGGCGTAGTTGCAGTACATATGTGACACCCGTGTCTCATCCGGATATTTTTTGAAGTTGATCCAAATGATTTTGATCGCGTGCAGCCGGCTCAACGCAGTCAAACGGAGGAAATTCGACACACCCTTTATATGTCAGTGTAGGCCGACTCCTCATTGCATTATCTTGTTTCAGGTTTCACAGCAGTCTCTCGCTCTCTCTCTCTCTCTCTCTCTCTTTCTAGTGCTGTCAGGCGATTAAAAAATCTTGCCATTAATTAGGGTCTGTGTAATTCATTTAATTTGAATCTCATCTGAAAAGGAGTGGGAAAACCCCAATTTTCATTTTAAATTGATTACATTATTGAAGCAGATCAAAAGTCAAAGAAAAAACGGCGTTAGAACGTATTTTCTTGTTTTTGGGCAACCATTATCTTTGTGCTGTATTTGAGACTCGTCAAAGTGCTACCTGCAACCTTTAGTTTCCACCGCGAGTTCCACCATCACTGTTTTTGTGAATCTCCAAAGAATTACAAAAGAAAAATCAATTTGAACATCGGGAGTGCCTCGGTTCACATATCAAGAACGGTAAGGATGTCTGGAAATGGCGTTCTTGGAACGTGAAGTCAGAACGCACTTTGCGTAACATTTTCATGAAACTTGTTGACTTGAGCGAGTGACCATGAAAGCATCCCGTGTAAGGAAGGAGCGGATATTGGAAAGAACAAAAGCCTTTCGTGCCTTTCGAATGGTTTGTTTTGTTTGTGCAGTTGCAACACCCTCTCCTCCGGTGGCGAGTTGCTTATTGCTACGTCACTTTGAGTTGGGTTTATATTTCGGCCAGGGCGGCCTGGTGGCGCAGTGGCGAGCGAGTTTTTTTTTTCGTATTTTCCTCCCGTGACGCGCCGTAGGAAAGGAGTGGCCAGTCGGCGTCGCGAAATATCTGCCGGACAGATTCTGGGTGGCTTCCCCGCCTATCGGATCGCCACAACCAATCAAAGGTCGCCACGTCACCGCGGGTTGAATATTCATGTGGTTTCGCGGGCTTTCTGTACCGCGTGACTTGGTTTGGCGGGAAAGCGAAGGTTTCCGAGAGAAGACGCGAAGAGGACACGCGCGATGGCGGTGAGGCGCTTTCCGTCTCGGTTTTTCTTTTTGTCTCACCGACGCGCCGTCGGTGTTCGACGTCGCGCGTCGCCGAGTGGACTTTGGGCGTGTGGGGGAAGAAAGTCGGTCCGACGAGATGCGGCGATTCGTTGAGGACCGAGCGGCTCCCGAGTGCTTTTTGAAGGGACGTTCATGACGCTAACTTGTTCGCTTTTCCGTCCAACGCGGCTCCGAAAACGAGCTCGGTCAGCTCACCGATTCGTCTTCGACAAAGACAATCGTCGTTATTCCACTGCTCCCTCTAAGGGGCTCCCAAAATGTAAAATCGTGTCCGCGTGTGTGTTGGGATTCCATTTTCTCTGTCTAAAAATGTGTCAAGTAGCAGCAAAAAGGCTGATTGTCGTTGATGCGCCGCGGGCAGGATTCATCCGAGTCTCAGCACGTGGGCGCCGGCAGCCCCGAGCCGCATTCCCGGAGGGGAGACCTGACCTCCAGCCCCGGCAGAGACCTGCCCCCCTTTGAGGACGAGTCCGAGGGCCTGCTGGGCGACGTCACTCTGCCCGGGGACGACGACGACGACGGCGAGGACGGCGATGGCGAGGAACTTATCGGGGACGGCATGGAACGGTGAGGAGCGCTGCTGCTGCCGCTCACACAAATGACGGGCAAGTTCATTGCGCCGTGCATTGCTGCAACTTGTCAAAAGCAGCTCGTTGACACCCTGATCAAAGTTGTACGCTCGCCTGTATTTTACCGCAAGATTGCGGCAAAGCACAACTTTTGTCTTCATGGAGCAACTCGACTTCCTTTCAGTAAGCCATGAACCCGTGGCCCAACATAAAATCAGAAGAAAGCTTAGCCCCCCACCCCCCAAAAAAAGAATTATACTTGCCTGAAAAGGGTGGCAAAGCACATCTTTTGACCAAACCAAGTTCCTCAACTCCCAAGTTCTTGGCACTATGCTGTCAAGACATGCGGAGAAGCGCTAATTCCGTCCAAACCTCAACGAGCACGGTTTCTTGGTTCTAAGATGGTGGAAAAGCGCTACCCTTGTGCAAATGAAGCTCATCTACTCACTTCTACATAGTTGTCGGGCACCATGATGTCGTAGGGTGGTGGCAAAGTACTCGGACCATCCAAACGTTTCGGGCACCGACATTGTAGCAAAGCGCAACCGTTGTCCAAATGAGGCCTCCCACGGGGGGCCGTTTACAGTCGCGTTTGAGGTGTCGCGACGAGCGAAAAAATCTCGCCGTCAAAGTCTGTTTTGAAAATGGCTGCCGGCCAACGTGCCAAGAACAAGCTTCGCGTTTTGTGACTCGAACGCTTGATTCATGTCTCCAACTCGGTGGCATTTTGCAAGCGCGCGTCGACGTGCCGGTGGTCATCGGTGCCTTTTTTTTTTTTTTTTTTTTTTGCGGCGGCGGCGCCGCCACAGTGACTATCGGCCCATCCCGGCGCTGGATCGCTACGAGGCCGAGGGGCTGGACTTGGATGAGGAGGACCCGGCCGAACTGTCCCCGGGAGCCCGGGCGGCCGCCGAGGAGGCCATGAGGAGGCGCGATCGCGAGCGGGGCTTCGGCGCGCGCCTCAGGAGAGGCCTGCTCTACGGTCAGACACGCCCGGCCGGCCGTCGCGCTGCGCCACGTTGCCTTTTCGCTCCTTTTGACTCTGTCGGACTCTTTGAATTCTTCTTTTGGGGGAAGCGCGGAACTGCGGACGGGGGGGGTCGTTGTTTTGACCGGGCTCCGTGGTTTGATGAACAATACGCGCGTGCGTGATTTGGGTGTTTGTTTGGCGTCCTCAGACAGCGTGCGCGGCCGAGGGCGCGGCCGAGGGAGACGAGGAGGAGATGATTGAGAGTATCGAGAACCTGGAGGACATGAAGGCGAGTCCCGCCGGCGCCCGCCGCCGCCGCCGCCGGCCTTCGGCGCGCTCACCTTCCTCCTCTTGCTCGTCAGGGCCACACGGTGAGGGAGTGGGTGTCCATGGCCGCCCCCCGCCTGGAGATCTACAACCGCTTCAAGAACTTTCTGCGCACGCACGTGGACGAGAGCGGCCGCAACGTCTTCAAGGAGAAGATCGGCGACATGTGCAAAGGTGGCTGACAATAGTTTGGGATTGTCACGACATTTTAGTTTTGACCTTATTTTCTTCACGCCGATTTCTTTTTTTCAAGAATGCTTTGTTCGTTTTATTTTCAGCACGTGGCGTTCCGAGTAAGATGAGCGGTCGCCGAGTATTGCGTAATAAAGCAAAGTGGGATTCTCAAAGGGCTTTTTAACCTTGGATAACAGGCGGGCGGCCAAATCAATTCATTTGGACTGAAGCCCGGAGGCTCGTGAGAAGGGCATGGTTTTTTTCTCCACTTGAATTACTTTGCGAAAACGGATGATGCACTTTTAGTTTCTTTTTTTTTCTGTGTGTGTTTATTTTGTTCTCTTCCTGCGGGGCTCTGCGTGCGCGTGTCATTTTAAACTCGAGTGCGTGTTTGTGTGCGCGAGCAGAGAACAAAGAGAGTTTGGGGGTGAACTATGAAGACCTCGCGGCCAGGGAGCACGTGCTGGCTTACTTCCTTCCCGAAGCCCCCATGGAGATGTTGAAGGTCAAAGCAGACGAAACGACACCCCTTGCGCTCGCCGCTCCAAAGCTAACCTGCGTGCGCTTTCCTTTGCTCCCTCTTGTTCTTCTTTCATTCCTCCCTTGGTTCCCCCCCCTCCCCCATCAGGTGTTTGACGAGGCGGCCAAAGAGGTGGTCCTGGCCATGTACCCCAAATACGAGCGCATCGCTCACGAGATCCACGTGCGCATCTGCAACCTGCCGCTGGTGGAGGAGATTCGCTCGCTCAGGTGAGGACAACGTGTGTGTGTGTGTGTGTGTGTGTGTGTGTGTGCGTGTGTGTGTCCGTTGATGGCGGGGGGTGGGCATGCCTCCAGTGAAAAATGAGAGCAAGACACACTTGGAAAGGGGGTCCAGGTTTTGGGGAATGATGGGTGGTCTGATGCATCGGAGGGGGGGGGCTGAAACGGCCAGCATGCTCCTTTTTTCGGGGCCGTGCGGCTACATTGGAAGGGCTTTGCGGAAGATCCAGAATCGATGGGTGGGGGTTGGGGGGGGGGGGCGTCACAAAAACAACCTTGGCCTTTGTTTCCATCTGCGTTGAAGCCTCCCTTTTAGTCCGGCTGTACTGCAGCGTCGCCGTTTGTGGTCCGGTCTTCTCTGCAGGCAGCTCCATCTGAACCAGCTCATCCGCACCAGCGGCGTCGTGAGCAGTTGCACCGGCGTGCTGCCGCAGCTGGGCATGGTCAAGTACAACTGCAACAAGTGCAACTTTGTACTGGGGCCCTTTTTCCAGTCCCAGAGCCAGGAGGTCAAACCGGGCTCGTGTCCCGAGTGCCAGTCGCAGGGACCCTTTGAGATCAACATGGAGGAGGTGAGCGACCGCGACGCCGCCGCCGCCGTCTTCTTTGAGCCTTGACGCCGCCGCCTCCTCGTCTCACCGCGGTGACTTTTCTTGAAATCCCTCCAGACCGTCTATCAGAACTATCAGAGGATCACCATCCAGGAAAGTCCCGGCAAGGTGGCCGCCGGACGTCTGCCGCGCTCCAAAGACGCCGTCCTGCTCGCCGACCTGGTGGATAGCTGCAAGCCGGGAGACGAGATCGTGAGCGCGCCGCCTGCGCAAAACCCGCCGTCCGGACGGACGACGGACGCTCCAAAATCCTCTGCGCTTTCAGGAGCTGACGGGCATCTACCACAACAACTACGACGGCTCTCTGAACGTGGCCAACGGCTTCCCGGTGTTCGCCACGGTCATCCTGGCCAACCACGTGGCGCGGCGGGACGAAGGCGTGGCCGCGGCCGAGCTGACGGACGAAGACGTCAAGGCCATCGTGGCTCTGTCCAAGGACGAGTGCGTCGGAGAAAGGGTGAGGGAGAGGAAACGGCAAATCCATCTTTTTCAAGAAATACCCGCGGATCCCAATATCGCGCTTTGACTTCAAATTGAATGAAACCGATGGCAAATTTCCTTCCCCCCCCCCCTTCCCCCCCATGTATTCATAAGAGACATATTTTGTATCCAACGCACAATAAAATGAATTGACATCCGTCACAATTGCGCCCCCGATCGGCAAAGAGAAGGATCCCAAATGAAAATAGTTGCCGATTAATTTTGACAGCTCTCGTGGACATTTTTCTTTCCTCGTCCGGTCTGCAAATCCTTCTCGTATGTCCAGATCTTCGCCAGCATTGCGCCGTCCATCTACGGCCACGAGGACATCAAAAGAGCTCTCGCCGTGGCCGTGTTTGGAGGCGAGGCCAAGAATCCCGGTAAAAGCCTCGTCGCTCGGCCGCCGTTTTCGGACCGCTCGGCCGTCTCGCCGTAGTTATCGCGTGCCTTTGTTCAGGTGGTAAACACAAGGTGCGAGGAGACATCAACGTCCTCCTGTGCGGAGACCCCGGGACGGCCAAGTCGCAGTTCCTCAAGTAGGACGGGATGGAAGATGTGCGCACGTGGGGAATATTTGTTGCCGTGATGTCACTTGTCTCGCACAGGTACGTGGAGAAGGTGGCGAGCAGGGCCGTGTTCACCACGGGCCAGGGCGCGTCGGCCGTGGGCCTGACCGCCTACGTGCAGAGGCACCCCGTCAGCCGCGAGTGGACGCTGGAGGCCGGCGCGCTCGTGCTGGCCGACCGCGGCGTCTGCCTCATTGACGAGTTTGACAAGGTAGGCGCCTTGAAGTGATGCCGCGCGGCGTCCCGCCGAAGCTAACGCGTGTGGCGTCGGCGCAGATGAACGACGCCGACCGCACGAGCATCCACGAGGCGATGGAGCAGCAAAGCATCTCCATCTCCAAGGCGGGCATCGTCACTTCGCTGCAGGCCCGGTGCACGGTCATCGCCGCTTCCAACCCCATCGGTGAAGTCACGCGCACACGCACGCACGCGCGCCCGCCCGGCGCTAACGGCCAGCGGGCGTGTCCTTCCAGGTGGCAGGTACGACCCCTCGCTGACCTTTGCCGAGAACGTGGACCTGACCGAGCCCATAGTGTCGCGTTTCGACGTCCTGTGCGTGGTCCGAGACACCGTGGACCCCGTCCAGGTACGCGAGTGACGCGCAAGCGCCGCTTCTTCACGCGTGGACCCAGGCAAACACCCGCACAATAAAAACGGCACAGTCACACACAAATTGGATTTTAAGCATCAAAAACACCACCCGCGTACACACAGACCACACATTTGATCACGTGTGCATGTGCGCATGCACACTGGCCACAGTCGCACTCACTCACCCACACACTTACTACTTATTGTACTTTTTTTAAACTTAATTGGTTTCAGATTTATTTGGGCTTTTTTTTTTAATATGGAGTATTTGTCAATTGCAATATTTAAAAAAAAAAAAAGTACACAACTCCAAGTCTTGTGTAATAAATCACAATTCATAAACATAATCTAAGATGTAGTTTCAGTTTTTGTTTTTTACACATTTTTATTTTGAACTTCTTCGTTTCAACAAAAGTGCTCTTTGACTTTTGGGTCCGGAGCTCTAATCCTGCTGCTTGCACAGGACGAGATGCTGGCTCGCTTCGTGGTCGGCTCCCACGTCAAGCACCACCCCGGCAACAAGGAAGGGGGCGTGGCCTTGGAGGAGGTGCTGTTGCCCAACTCGTCCAACGTGGCGCCCATCCCTCAGGAGCTCCTCAGGAAGTACATCATCTACGCCAAGGACAAGGTGGGTGGAGCCTCGGGCTGTCGGTCGAGCGCGGCCGTCCTCCAGCCGGCTGATTGACGGCCACGCCCACGCTTGTTTGCAGGTTCATCCCAAACTCAACCAGATGGACCAGGACAAGGTGGCGCGCATCTACAGCGACCTGCGCAAAGAGTCCATGGTGAGACACAAACACTCACGCTCGGTGCTGACACACGGGAAAACACAGTCACGGTTTACAAACTTGTATATGTCAGAAATGACACACACACACACACACACGCACACGTTCGTATGCTCCGGTGCTTATGCGCAATCACACCCGTGGCGTCTCACAGGCGACGGGCAGCATCCCCATCACGGTGCGCCACATCGAGTCGATGATCCGCATGGCGGAGGCGCACGCCAAGATGCACTTGCGCGACTACGTGATGGAGGACGACGTCAACATGGCGGTCCGCATCATGCTCGAAAGCTTCATCGACACGCAAAAGTTCAGCGTCATGCGCAGCATGCGCAAGGTATGCCGTGCCGCCGCAAGCTAGGAAATGGACGTGAAAAAATCCTCAAGAGGCCGATATTTCTGTATTGGACTCGTTCTTCTCCGCAGACGTTCTCTCGCTACCTGGCCTACCGCAAAGACAACAACGAGCTGCTGCTGTTCATCCTCAAGCAGCTGGCGGCTGAGCGCGTTTCCTACCAGAGGAGCCGGTACGGAGCGCGCGACGACACTATCGAGATACCCGAGAAGGATCTTCACGACAAGGTAACGGCGCTCGTAAGATAACCGCTGCCAAACGCTGGCGTCCGCAGCCAATTGCTGGTTTCGGCTTTTGGAATGGTGAGCCGAAACACTCGAGTCAGTCGTTAAATGTTCCCACCAAATGCTAATGTTTGTGGCTGAATGCTAAATGCTAACATCGACAGCTGGTTTGTGCTGAAACATGGTCATGTGACTCTTAACGTGTTTGGTACTGATCCGACATCAACTAAAGAAGCCCCGTGCTAATTGTTCAGTGGAGAAAAAAAAAACTGGCATGTTGCCTATTTTCCTTTGTTAGCAATGAGAGAGGAGGGAAAAAAAGCACCCTCAAAATTGAAAGGTTTAGTCCCCCGTGTTAAGTGCAAGTTGCTACCCGTTTAGCTAACGTTGGCCAACTTGTGTTATAGGCTCGTCAGATCAACATCCACAGCCTGTCTTCGTTCTACGACAGCGAGCCGTTCCGCACCAACAGGTTCACTTACGACGGCAAGAAGAAACTCATCGTGCAGCAGTTCTGAGAAAAATCAAAACGGTCAACCTGTAAATAAGTGTACATGTTCGTTCCTCTCCCTTGTTCTCGATTAAACGTGACTTTGTTGTACGTGTGTCGGGAGTTCTTTGATGGCAACGTTCAGATCGATGGCGAGCGCCAGAGTTGAGAGAAGTTATGTTTGTCTTTGGAATCGCGTGACGCTTGCGTTCCTACAAATATTTCCTGATTAACAGTTGACATATGCACGTTCGATAATCAGGTTTTTAACGGCCAAAACTGTGCGCGTATGTGGGTGCGTGGTCACATTTGATTGGCGGACTGTGACATGGAGCAAATGGAGGAAGCGCCCTGACTGACCAACAACAAAGGAGCGGTCAAACAAAGACCAGACAGCAGGAGTATTTTCCAAAGCAAGTGCTCGGTTTTTGAAGACTGTTTAGCTGTAACCCCCTCGCATGGGTAAAATGGGCGCCTATCTGCATGTGTCTGCTTTTCATGTCAAAATCATGTGAGACATCTGCCTTGGAGGACTTTGTTTCGAGATTGCGGTGTTACTGAATCTTTGCTTCTTGTGCTCTGTTGACAATACCGGAGCAGACCGTATGACCGAAATTAATTTCCACTAAAAAAAAAAAAAAAAAAAAAAGATCCGCGGTGGCCGAACTAACTCCTGAGAATAGCTTCAATGTAACTACAATGATACCCAGCAGAGGGCGTCATTTTTCTAGGGTACCCTGACCTGGAGTGCGAGACCGAGTGTAAAAAGAAAACACCAGTTAAATGGCGAATAAGCCAATCAATGTGACCATAAAATTCCAAACAAGACCGGAGGTACCGAGACTAGAGGAAGTGGCGGGCGTTTCTTCGAGTGCGGAAGAGCGTCGGCCTATGAATATGAAGATTACCGTTACGTGGGCGACATTAATTAAACAGCAGTCCTGATGTTTTCATTGAGATTATTATGACACGGTTAAGTAGCAAAAAGTTCAATTTGGTTTAAAACAAAAAAAAGCATGACATTTAATAGAAAAAAAATGATTTCAAATACAATAATGCTTTGAAGTATTTGATATCGGCGGTACTGGCTCGATTATTGGTATCACTATCGAGCCGCTGATGGTGTCGCGGTCCCCTCGCCGGACTTGTGTGCGGGTAGCCTGCGATCGGTTCCCACTAAGTGTTGGTGTGCTTCTGGATGCTTGTTCGTCTCTATGTGTGCCCTGTGACTGACTGTCGGCCAGTTCAGGCCAGGGTGTAGTCCGCCTTTCGCCCGTATTCAGCTGGAGTAGGCCGCAGCACCCCCCGACAGCCACCCTCGACACTCCGGGATGAGCTGTACTGGCTTGAAAATGGATGGACGGACGCACTATCGAATGATACCGATATCACGAGCATCGAGCGGACTGGCGTACCCAATGACGTTTCCGGTAGCTTTTGGGTGGGCGGGGCTAGCATTCCGAAACGAGACCCGCGCGTGAGTCGCTCCGCGGTCGCTACTGAGCGCGCGTAGGCGAGTCGGTCTCTCGGAACTCGTCGTCCACCTACCGCTGCGTTCTCCATCTGGCGTGCTGCGGGCCCCGCGTCAGGTTAGGATGAGCCTTTCGACCGAGGCGGGAATTGCGGCTTTGCTGGCCGCGGCCGCGTTGCTGTGCTCGGTGGCGGCGGCCGACTCGCTGCCCAACCAGCGGCCCGTCGTCGGTGAGTCCCGGCCGGGGGTCCGTTCGTGGCGCGCACGTGCGAGGAATGTTCTGGAAGGTCACCGCGACGGGCGAGATTCGGCGCGTTGCACGTTTCACCTTTGCTTGCCTTCGGTGCGCTCGTGGGCGGCTCTGCTCAATCTGAATTTGGTTTCAAAGGTGCAGTTGGAGCTTGCGGGTTTTTCGACATGTGGCGTTTTATTTTATTGAACAAAAGTGCGCATCGTGTCACCTTTGCGGAAACCTGCCAAATCAAATGGAACGCTTCGATGACCTTCTGAAAGGATTTTAGGACAATCCCTGCAGCCCGAATAGCAACATCGGAGAAATTGATCATTTGGCAGGGGTCTTCGTTATTTCTTGTACACACGCGCACACACAAACGTTGTAAGCATTTGTGAGGACATGAAATGCATCGCAAACTGCAATTTGAAGCTTTTGAAACAATGCGCTTGCTCGGTTTGAACATATTCAACAGTAAATGTCTTTTGAGTTCAATCTATTTGTTTTATTATTCCTTTCCAAAACGGCACTGCAATCCGAGTATGCTGAGGATTCACAACGACCTTGCTCCGAAATGTTCCGATGAAATCATCCATCCATCCATCCATCCGTCAACCAATCGGTTTTCAACACCGCTTATCCCGAACAGCGCCGCGGGAAGTTGCTGGAGCCTATCCCAGCTGACTTCGGGCAGAAGGCAGACCGCACCCTCAACTGGTCGCCAGTCAGTCGCAGGGCACGTCTAGAGACCAACACCCATTCGCACCCATTCACATCCGCACCGAGTGGGAACCGATCCCACGCTGCCCGCGCACGAGTCAAGCGAGTGTGCCGCTGCACCATCGGTGACCCCTTCGTGTCAAATAATGGACTCAAATCGAGCTATTTTGTCAGCTATATGTTGAATCAGAAGGAAGTTATGTCAAAAACAAAAAAATGCACGATTGCACGTTTGTGATCAGCAGCTGGCCGAAGCGCGTTGCTCTTTTGTGACTCCGCATATGACCCGCTTGGTGCTCGCAGGTGTGCTGGCGCAAGAAATCCTGCCGGAAGACCCCTTTGCCGCGGGATCCTCCTACATCGCCGCCTGCTACGTGAAATATTTGGAGAGCGCCGGCGCCCGCGTGGTTCCCATCAGGTACGGTGCGGAGAGGACGGCCGCAAAGCGTCGGCGCGGTGGTTAGCGCCGACGCTTTGCGGCTTGGAGGTGAGGGTTCTCGTCCTCGCCGAGGGCTTCCGAAAAGAAGAAAGCCGTTGATGAAGCTTTCACAGATCGAACGTTTTATAGGAGTGAAGAGAAAGACGCAAGTGTAATTTGGCACTTTTCAAATGGCAAATGGACGTCATTCTTGCCCTGATTTGGCGGGATGCGCTCGGACACGCCGAGTGTGCTGGTGCCTCATTTGCATAGGCCCGCCCACACATTGACACGCAAGCAGCATTTTGAGCGGGAGTCGCACCTTTCGCAACGGGCTCACGTTGCTTTGAGGCGCGGGGGCGGGAATCTTTTCTCTTTCGATGATTTCACAGTCGGAACCCGGTCATGAGATTTCCTCCCGACTGCCAAATTCAACAGTGAATATGGAAATGCGACAAGTGTTTTTCTTGTCTGGTGCTTGGCCCGACTTCTCCTCAAGGCGCAAGCGATTCACTTCGAAGCAGGTGTCAGAAATGCGAGCGGCCCGACTCGAGTCCGTCGGCGAGCTCGTTCATTTGACCCGAGTGCTCCGACTTGAGGTGCGGGCGCCGTGTGGCGGCAGTCATCTCGGCTCGCGAACGTCAAGCGGCGCTTTGTCAAGGTGGAGCGCCAAAGGGAGGCTTCGGGCTATTTCATTTCATGGCGCTCCCGCTTCAAGTTGACACTCGAAACATCCATCCTTGGTTTCAAACAAGCAGACGGTGGTTGTTTTTTTTTCTTCTTCTTAAGAATGCCACTGTTAGCTTCATGCTAAGATCCAAATGAACATCCCATTGAAGGGCTTGCGACGAGTCGTCCATCGTTGCGGTGTCGTAACGGAACGGACGGTCGTCACTTTCAACCCCCTCAAATGCTCTGCGAGTGAATGTCATTATGACACGCCTCTTCCTAATATGGCCTTTCTTCTTACGTTTATGGCCAGGATCAATCGCACCGAAGAGGAATATGTCCAGATATTCTCCACAATTAACGGGTGAGCCGAGCAAGCCGCTTCTTCTTCGTCGTCGTCTTCTTTGACAGCATTTTTTGTTGTCGGTTTCGTCCAGGTTGCTGTTACCGGGCGGAAACGTGGACACCGAGACGTCGCTGTCCACGCGAGCGGCCAAGATCTTCTACCGCCTGGCTCTCAAGGTAGCTTCCAAGCCACGCCGCCTACTTTGATCCCATTTCCTACGAGCTATGTCGTTCGAAGACATCGTGAGGCTTTCCGATGGCCGACGTGTCGCGCAAACGTCCTCGCGCCCTCTGCAGGCCAACAACGCCGGTGACTACTTCCCGATCTGGGGGACCTGTCAGGGTTTCCAGCAGCTGACGTTGTTGACGGCCGACAGGAACTTGCTGACCGTCACGGACACGAGGAGCGCCGCTCTGCCGCTCAACTTCACGGCGGGTGAGGCCTCGCGCGAGACTGCCGCGTCGGGCCCCTTCCATCATTTTGCGTGTCTTGCAAGTTCTTCAGGGGAAGATCTCAGACCGGCGGTAACTTGTTGATGGCAAAAAAAGGCTGCTAATATTGAATGTTGTTTTCTGCACCAGTCAATTGTTAGCATAAAACAAATCAAAGCTAATGGGGATATCGGTCAGTTTTTCCGAAGTTCCGCGTGTTCCTAGAATCATTTTTGGCATTAAGGGGAAAAAAATGATGAACGTTCGCATCGCATTTGTTTGGCATAACTTTGGGGAGTTGTTGTGGCCAAACCTTGCAAGGATGCAAGTCGAAGAACTTCAAATGTTTCCAACTGCGATTGAAGTACTGTAGCGAGATAAACCGTCTCGCATATTAATTGGTGATTCATTTGCCTTTTCCTGTACAACCGAATGATGAATGTTTCATCAGTCTGACGTTTGTTTCTTGTCATAGGAATGAAATGAACTGCTCGTGTTTGTCAGAAAATTCATCAAGCCTTCCCACCTGCCCGCCGGCCCACTCGGCTTGCTGCCTAGCTAGCTCAAACTTAGCGGCTTACTTGCCAAACCTGTCTCGTCTTTTCTTTTCCCTTCTGCGCAGACTCCTCGTCCAGCCGTTTGTTCCGTAACTTCCCCGCCGACTTGATGCGGTCTCTGTCCGAGGACAACATCACCGCCAACTTCCACAGCTGGAGTCTCTCGCTTCAGGTACTTTGGTCGGCGCGCGTTACTCCCGTCCGTCCGCGCGCGCCTCGGGTTCCCGCTTTCTAAATGCCGTGTCGTCGCTGGCTGCCCGCGCACTGACCCGTCAGAACTTCAGCCGGAACGGCAAGCTGAAGAGGTTCTACAAGGTTCTGTCCACCAACACGGACGGCACGACGGACTTCATCTCTACCATGGAAGGTTCTGCCCCTCCGCGCGCCCCCCCTTGTCGAATTCGCGCCAGATAAAAGGTTTTGATCCGTTTGTGTTTGCGTTCTCAGCCCGGCATTACCCGTTTTACGCCGTGCAGTGGCACCCCGAGAAATCCCCGTTTGAGTGGGTGGACAAGCCCGGAATGGTCCACTCCACCCAGGCCGTCCGAGCGTCCTTCTACACGGCCAGTTTCTTCGTTTCGGAAGGTGAATGCGGCGCCGAGCTATAGCGTCACACCCGCCTTCTGTTGTCGGCTACGAGCGAGGATGACCTTTTTCTCTCAGCAGAAGGGCCGAGCGCTGCCGACGCGGCTCTCGGTCAGATTTCCGCTTTGCCTTCCTTCAGTTTTGAACCACCCTAGCGATTCCCCCCAAAAAATCTGACTCAGGCTCGGCGAAAGTTCCAAAAATCGATTATCAGCCCATGCCAAGTTCAAACCCGAGTCCGCAGGGGATTCTGGTCCGATCGTCCACTCGCTTTGCATGACGTCGTGTCCTTTGCATGGACGGCAGATTCTTCGGTGACGTCATCGTAGCCGACTGCCCTTTGCCCTGGCAATCGAGCACATCTTTCTTTTCACGCCTGACGCAATGCAATGGGTCATGATCAATACAACCCGTTTTATAATTCAATCAATCAATCAGTCATTGTGTTCCTCATGCGTGCCTAATTCAATTACTCTCCTCCCTGGCCGCCTTCCGTTTTTCCTTGGTTTCCTCTGTGCCTCTTTTCCTTTCTGCCTTCCTTCACCATGGTCGTCTTCTCTCTTTCAGCGATGAAGAACCAGCACAAGTTTTCCAGCCCTGCAGAGGAGGAGCAAGCCCTCATCTACAATTTCTCTCCTGTCTTCAGAGGCATCAGCTCCATCTTTGTGCAGAAGTACTACTTCGATTGATACACTAAAATTCGTGTGTGTGTGTGTGTGTGTGTGTGCGCGCGCGCGCGCATACACGCGCTGCAAAGTAAAACTGCGTTGGCAATTGTCTTCCACTAGATGACGCCATTTCACGTCGCCCACTGGACGTAATAAATGTCGCTGGAGTTCGGCGTGTCTTCATTGAATACAATTTTGAAAAGTAAGAGTTAAAAATAACAATGACATAATATATTAAAAAGAAATCAATCATAAGTAATACACGCAAATGTTACTGACAAATACTGTGCATTAAATTGCTTTATTTTTAACCTACTTACGTAAAAAAGGAAAAATAACAAACTCAATTGTTTGTTTTGTATGTTTGTGTTTTTAGGGGTAAAAAAATGTTCATTCATAATTCATCATTTCCCTGTTATCTTTCGCCGGCAGCCACATCGACTCAGGCGCACGCGCGTGTGCTCACGCCACAGCGTGTGTATAGTGGGGATGAGATTTAGTGGCGAGGATTATCCAGTGTGAGGATTTCCCGCCTCTTTCTCACCTGCCAATCATCCTCAGGAGGCCCCTCGAGGAAGATGACAGCACCACCACCACCACCACCATCATCATCTGTGAATTATATGACCACCACCAACCACCTTCAAATGCTTTCAGTCCAAATATCAGAAACGACTGTTGGCATGGTGCAATCCTCAAGTGATTGACAGCACCAATCAAATATGACCGTTGATATTTTGTGAATGCTATGAGGTGGTGTGCCTAATCAAGTGTCCCTCCCATGTGGAGAAGGCCATCCACTTGCGGGCGGTCCAGCGTTCGCTGCCATAATCTCGTCTCAGAGCTAACGAGATTGCGGGGCCGCGCCAGGACACGGGTGCGCGTTTAATGGGGAGGGACGGACGTGGACGTGAACCCTCATCTTTGCTGGGCCCGCCAGACCGATCCGGGAGGGTGCCGATTCGCATCGTCATCGTCCCCGTCCGTGAAGCTACTCCTGTTAACAAAGTTCAGCGGTGACTCGGCTTACGGGTTTTGCGTGACGAGCCCCGCTCTGACTGGCAAGCAAAAATTGGAGATGTGATCGCTGTGTGGTGGCAATGAGCTCACTCCACAAGCAGCTGTTTTTGGGTTAAAAAGACGGCTCCCGGCTCCCGGTTGATGTTTACTCCGAACGCAAAACAAAGACAAATGTACCTCGTGTATTTCAAACAACCACAACCTTTGCCTTTGGGTAGTCAAATGCGAAACATGCAAAACGCCACAAAGAGGCTAATGAATAACACCGGTGTTGGCCGCTTTGAACCAAAATGGCTGACTTCCCGTGTCTTTGGGCATGGCTTCTTGAGACTTTTTTGCGAGTCTAATCATGATGGGAGTGTGGACCAAATGTCATGTTGTCAAGTCAAACTGGGGCTGAAGAAGACGAGTCTATGTCAAGAGGGCCTAAAATGGCCACTTTAAACCAAAATGGCTGCCTTCATGCATCCTTATGGATCGAAGGTCTTGAGACTTTTTTGTGGGTCTACTCATGATTGAGTTGTTGCTTTGAGTAATTGGCACCGGGGGCTAAAAACTGAGCTGAATTGGGCGCTTGGAGCCAAAATGACCGACGTCCCGCGTCTCCTGGCGTGGCTTCGTGAGCCGTCGATACCGATTTCATTCTGCAAAGTCAAACTGGCTTTGGGAGCTGAAACTTTTGATATGACATCATTATTTGGAAATCATTTCCAAATGAGCCTAAATTGGATTTTTCGAACCCAAATGTCTCCCTTCTCGCGTCTTTTGGGAACGTCTTCATGAGAATCGTTTTGCTGTGTCCGCACATGATCAACACGGTGAGCAAATGTCGTCTTGCAAAGTCCAATTCCGAGCTTCGGCGGCTGCACGTCCCCGCCAAAAAGAAGCCTGGCGTGGCGAGGGGGAGGCCACGCCCTCTCTGTCCACTCGGCGGCCCCCATTCGCCGAGAAGTGAAAGAAGAAGACGGCAAACGAGCGTGAGGAAGAAGCGATGAAAAGGACAAAATGGACGATCCGAATTGGAGTAAGTTTGAAACATTGTTAGAATTATTTACTCTTCTTGCTCGAAGAGTTACTGATGAATTTGCTCAGAAACGCTTCCCTTTCCAGTTCGGAATGTAACTTTGAATTGTCGCACAACCCCGCTTTCCTTTTCAAGTCTTTTGAAACTCGAACGTTACTGTACTGGCAAGCGAAAGGTAAACATTTGAGAAAGTGGGGGCGAAAAGAGTCTAAATTTCATGCAAAATGAATGAGGCAAATGTGGATTTTTATCACTCCGCGATGTTGGGAAAAGGCCGCGTGAATAATTCAACAGAAATTGAATCAAAAGCTACCGACAAAACAGCAATCCAAGGGGAACGCCGCCAATGTTTAGCTCGCTTGGAAAATGGCAGCTCACCATCCCAATAGCAATAATCATGACGATTTTAAGAACAACAACAACAACGGCGGTCACGACGGACTTGCCAAACCAAAGTGAAAGAATGTCCACTCACCTTCAGTGGCAACTTTTTGGGACATTTACCGTCAGTCATTGATCTGTGGTCAAATATTGAACGCACACCAGTAAAATGCATCGTTATATTGTGGTTCAGTTTTTGTCTCTGCATGTTTTTAATATTTTGGATCTATATATTTATGTATCCGTTTAGTTTTTAAACCAGATAAAAACACGGAGAAGACTTGCCATCTAGAATACCAACCTGTCTGCAGACAATGGAATAAAAAAGTACAAAATACAAGCACAAATGTGTACAACGACGCCATCGTTTTGACAAAAGCAGTGCTTCGCCGAAACCTTGTGCCAATCTCTGTGCCAAGGAAAGTGACCAAATTGAGCAGCTTCGTGTGGACAAAAGTCACGCTTTGCCGCGAGCATGTGGCAAAAATAAGGCAATCGTTCGCCTTTTTGAGTGAGCGTCACGAAACGGACTGATTTCTCTTAGCTGCGCTGCATCCACAAATTCACCATCAGAAGGACGCAAGACATTGGAGATGTTTTCTGGGCTTTTCTGATCCAGCAGATGGCGCTGAAGAGCACGATGGGTGAAAGAAAAAAAAAAAAGAGTGTCAGGTATGAAAGGCGTTCCTGTGGCAACCACGCGTCGCCGCCCTTTGAGGATGGCCGCGGAGATTAAGCCGCTAATGGGATTGACATCTTCGGCCGGGTCAACGAGACGCCGCCGCCAGCTGGACGTGCGGGAACGCTCGGTCGCCAGCAGCCTGCCTGCGATGTTTGCCTTTGATCCCGAGCGGACAGCGACTTAGGTTGATTGAGCCGCGTGGCCGCGGTGTCAGCGGCCTTAATTGCCGCCGCCCGACACCTCGACTTCTCATTGAGTTGCTGGCGCCGCGGTGAGGTAGCGTGCGACTCGTCATCGTTTGGATCTCCAAAAACAACACTTGGAAACGACGTCCCGTAACGAAAGCCCATCAGTGAACAAAGAGGCGCCGGCCCCGGAAGCGGCGACAGACACGGAGCGGCCAATCGTGGCAGAGTTGCCCCGGTCTGCGACCGTGCGGCAAAAGAGGCGAGAAGGCGGGACAAAAACATCACAATTGTCGACTTTCAAAGTGTCTCCAAAAAGGACCGGACCTTGGAAAGTCTTCAAACGAAAGCACGCGTGTCATCTCAAAAGGGGGGCACGGCCTGTCAAGTCCTTGGAAAAAGTCGCCTCGTAAAAGAGGAAGCGCGTCCGCGGTCCATTAGCCACGTTTCCAAAGTGGCGCGGATGAGGACCAAAGTGCATTTTGATCCGATTTGGTGTCCGACATCTTCCCGGCCGAAGCGCGACACTTCTTTCCCATAAAAGACACGCAAGAAGAAAAAGAACGGGTCGATGGACGGGTCGGTCGACACAAAACAGTCGGGGTGGAGAGATGGGTAGGTCGATGAAAAAAATAGATGCGGGGATAGATCAATATGTGCATAGATAGATAGATAGATGGACGCACAGATGAGGAGACAGACGGGCCAATAATTGGGTGGATGGACGGATGCGAACATTTGGGCCTCGTTGGAAAAGCCGTGGCTGGCGGATTTTCAAAATGAAAGCTCATCAAAAGATGTGCTTTCATTTTGAAAATTGTGCCATTCACATGTTGATGGTGCCATTAGAGAGGAGCTACATCGAGTGCTCGTTAAAGTGTGTGTGTGTGTGTGTGTTGCGCAAATCTAAAAAAAAATGCACAATAACGATAGCAGCAATAATTATTAGTACGCTGTTGCTCGTCCAACGTGTTGCATCGTAAACATGCTCTCATGACGTCATCCATCGAACCTGTTGTCTCGATGTACGCTTGTGTGTGTGTTTGCTTGTGTGTGTGTGTTTGCGGGCGCGCTTGTAAGGTGTCGACAGGACGTTTGTGTCATTAAGTATGTCCTCACTAATGGAAGTGACTTTGAAACGTGTGTGCGCGTGTAGTGTTGATATTTGTGTGTGTGTGTGTGTGTGTGTGTGTGGGGCTGCCGAGAATAAATCCAACATGAGTGTTTCATATCTCGATGAAGGATTCGGGTTTGCCCTTGGGCAGCCCCACGGACACGCACACGCAAACATCAACCTACAAGTTGAAAGAGACACCAAAGAGAAGCGTTTCTAGCCCCACGCGCGCCGAGGAGACATCCAGACACTGAAATGCATGAAGAGCAGAGTTGATGCGCGCGCACGCACGCGCGCACACCAAAACAACCGCGGCCTTCCTCGAAATACGCGTCCCGCGTTGTGACGTCACGGTATTTTGGAGCCGTCCCGGCGACCTCTTCGACGTTGTTCGCCCGACGCGCCCGATCGACGAAACGGCTGGCGAGTGTCCGTTTCGGGCGGCGAGCTCCTTTCGCCGCCGTCCGTCACGTGACGTCGGCACGCGAGCGGCGGCGGCGGCGGCGCCGGGCCGTCCGGACGAAAGCAAAGTGGACTCTCGCGCCCGCCGAGTCCTGACGCGTCCCTCGAGCGCGCGGACGGGACGCCGCCGGAAGACGCGCGAGCGAGCGAGCGACGACGTCAAGGACGAGGGCGTCGTTTGCCGGGACAAAACGGGTTGCTACGGAGAAGCCCAAACGGTCGCGGTGACGTCACAGACAGGCAGCTTTTCTTTTCGTTCGGCGGTCACTTTGAGCGCCGGCAGACCGACGACGCGGCGGAGGGGGGGTGGGGGGGGGGGGCTCAGGCTGGATCGTCACGGCTCCCAATTTCGCATTTCACTTAAGGGCTTCAAATCGTGCGCTCAACATGTCAAATTAGGCTTGAACCCAGCGGGGAGGTTTGAACAGTTTGGAATCGAATTTCCAAATGAGGCTTTCAAGCGCTTCGACAAGGACGGATTGAATTCCGCGTTCGGGCTCCAAGCTTTCAAATGAGACGACCGATGCCCGTTTGTCCTCCATTTCTTCTTCATTCTTCACTCCTTTCCTTTTCCTCCTCCCGTCCTTCCATTTGTCCTTCCGTTGACTTTCTTCCTCTCTTCCTTCCTTCCTTCTTTCTGGCCTTGTTGACTTTCTCACTTCCTTTCCTTTCCTTCCTTCCTTCCTTCCTTTTTTGTTCCTTCCTGCCTTCCTCTCATGTGCATAATTGATGAGTAATCAATCAATAGCGAAGTCGCCGAAAATCCAAAGTGACGCTTTGGCGGTGACAAAGGCGAGCCATCGATCGGTCGGCACTTAATGGAGCGAAATATTCATCGGCTGTCAGGCGAGCGCAGAGCGACCGACCAAGAGGAAAGGTCGCTCACATGTGCAAAACTTTGTCGTGGGACCCCCCCGCCAATTTGCCTTTCAGTGAGGCCCGCCAGGGCGCAGCTGCCGACACTTGAGGTTTCGGGTTAGGCTGAGAAATGAGGCTTTCGAGGCCACACACACACACACACACACACACACAAGTCGACTTGAGTCTGTCGTACTTCATCTTGCTGACAAATCAGCAGCAGCAGCAAGATGGCGCGTGCGTACTCACTGCAACCAAACGACCGCGATGAACGTTTTCGTCTTAGGATGAACATGTTTTTTCTTCAAGGCGAATTGACGTCGGCGCGGCCGCTTGCGGAGGGCGCCGGCGTTAGGACCCGGGGCACAGCTCGTAAGGCTGGCGGGCAGAAGCGCGTGCGCGAACTCAAAAGCGGACGTGAGCCCTTTCCAAAACAAAAGCGAGGCTCGACGCGCCTCCTTTGCAAAAGCGGCAAACAAAACATGAAAAAGAAACGTTGGCTGTTTCAAATGCGACAATTGTCTTCTAGTTGAACGAGAGAGAAGAAATCCGTTGCAATTTGCGTGCTGCCAGTCAGCAGCGAAAGGCAACTTGCTTGCGAAAATGGGACAGTGTTCACTTGCACAAATGAGCTTGACATTCAATTTGGGATGAAAAACTCTTTTTGTTTCCTTGCTTCCTTAAAAAGCTTTCCTTCTGTCTTCCCTTCCATACTTCCTTGTTTACTTCCTGCCTTCCTTCCTTCTTTTGTTCCTTCTTTCCTTCCTTTCTCCCCCAATTCCTTCCATTCTTCCTTGTTTACTTGGCCCCTCACTACCTCCTTCCCTTCCTCCCTTCTCTCCTTTCTTTCTTTCTTTCTTTCTTTCTTTCCGTCCTTCTTTCCTTGTTCCCTCTCTTCCTTCCTTCTATCATTCCTCACCCCAACCTGTTTTAAATCACGCTCTTATTTTGAAACCGAGCGAGCGCGACCCTCCCCGCCGATCTCCTGCGCGCGACATGCCGACGCGGGCGCGAGCGCGCCCGTCGGCGGAGGTACGCCAGCCGCCTCCTCCTCCGGCGGCAGTCAGTCAGTCAGACGGTCGAACGGCGAGTCGGTTCGCGCGACATCCGCAAAACTTTCTCGCTTCACTTGGCGCAAATGTGACACTAAAGTCCATCATTTGGATTTTCTCCTGACTTTTTTTTCTTTGTTTTTGTTTTTTTTGGGGGGGGGGGGGGGGGGGGGGGGGCAGAAACGCG